GCTCCCTGTCCCTATTCAGGACACATAATGTTGCCAAATCAAATCAAGAGAAACACAAGTCCTGACAAGTCCACTGCAGTCGCACCGTGATTAACACATCAGCCCACTGTTTAACTATTTATATAGTTTCGCATTAGTAGCATATTTCTTTCCTTGTGACCAAATGTCGTCTTATACGAAAGTAGTCATTTATTTCATAGACCTATCAGACACAGTAGTTAAATTTAAGTTGCTAGAAATAAGTCCGTGAAGTGTTGAGATGATCTGTGAATCTAGTTTTTAGTAATTGAATTTAAATGATTTGAAGAAGTATGGTAAAAATTTATTTAATATAAGTCTGAAAAAGAATATAGAATAATGTAAGGTTATTATTATTTTGAATAAACAGTTGTTTTATGATTTAGATCTTCAGTGTCACTTCTCTTTCCGTTTCTCTCCCAGAATGTAAATCAGATTCAAGAGTATTTTAGCCGAAGTAGTTCGTATTGTAAAGCAGAAAGTCGTTTTGCCTTTCAAGGCCACGTTATTAGATTTCTGTTAACTCTGAGAAGATTACATTTTTTGGCTCTGCGTTATAATTGTCGACATTTAAATTGTTACAGTGAGACGCTTTGAGCTAATTTCGCGTTAAATTGTTTATATAGCTTATGGCTACTAAGTTTTAATCTTGAAACTAACTGTTACTTTAAGTTATATTGCCACAAGATGTCGGCTGAATTGTCAAGCATGACACTTGCATTTATGTTCCAGCTCTGATTTAATAAAAAGATTTGAGGACTTTACAGTTCTTTTCAGAGAAGCAATAATTCGCTCCAAGTCTGTTAGTTTTAACTTAAATTATGTGGCAAACAATACTAAACTCTAAATATCTATACAAATTTTTAATATTCCTTGGCAAAGATTTAGTAATCTTGATTGCATACTTTATGAGGATGTATGAATAAAGTTGCAATATATTGCATGGAAGAGATAGTTCAGTGGTGGGTATCAAAAAATATATTTATCTGTATGGTTCGCACTCCTTTTGCGTGTACCGACGCTATTATATCAACTTCTTGCTTTCTTCAAGAGAATAAGAAACTTTGGCTAGAAACAACGCTTTTCTCTTTTGCTACCTAATTCTTAAGTTAAAAAAATTTACCTAAAGTGATAAAATTAAATAAAACCTAAATAAATATTTCAAGCAATTAAACTTTTATGAAAAAAAATTATAAAATGCTATTAGGTAAACTTTATAATGTTTATATTTATTTAAAGGATGTTGTGTAAATTAACTGTAGCATTTGCAATCGTCAGCCAGTCTTTTTACACTATTCTAATATTTGATTTGTTATCTCATTGTTTAGGGTTGCAGATAAGCCATGTGATGAACCAGTATGTTAGACTCTCATCCACTTTCATAAAACTTCAGGAAATAAACAAAAATTTATTGCAATGAAGAACGAATTCTATATTATGAGACGGAATTAAAAGGAACTGCTGCCCTGTCTTTAGAAAAGCCCCTCAATTTGATGTACAATCTATTTACATCTGAAATATGGTGATTGAATGTACCATAGTTATATCAAACAAACGTCACTAGATACTATTATTTTTTTAATTAAAACTGTGAAATAAATTAATTATAAATGTTTGCTTTGTAAATATTATTTGTATATGTATACAGATATATATATATAAAACATAAATTCTCAGAAAAACATGAAAGAAATATGCAGCTTAAATTCAGTTTATTCCCAAATATACATAAAAATATATATACATAAAAAGCAGAACTAAACTACTTCGCTCTGCTTTTATGGGGTATATATATATTCTGGAGAAAGTCTGCAGCAAGAGCTCAAAAGATAATTTTAAGCAAAGAAAATTACTAAATAAGGTATCTGTGTAAACCGATAAAATTTGTATTTCTCCTTTACGCTTTTATTATTTTGATAACGCAGGTTGTAAATATTCAATTTTACCAAAAGCAAAGAAAAAATTGTGAGTAAAATGAATGAATTTTAATTGCCCCAAATTCTTTCCTACTGAATATTCGGCAGAAAATATCTGCATGAATTTAAAACATTACAGAATTTAAAATTATCAGCCAGTTAAATGCCTGAAGTGTCTCCCCCCCTTTTTTTAAGAATTCACTAAACATCGCCTAGTATTGACTAGTTTTAATGTGTTCTCAGAGATTATATTATTGAGTCTTCTTTCAGCTCCTTTTTTTAATGTGTCCTTGAGAGTTATACATGTTATTTTATGTTTTACCAAATCGCATAAATGTTTTCTATTGGAATCAAATCAATTGACTGGGGATGTATGTAGCTGTTTTGGGACGGTATATAGCAGCCAGAGCTATATAACGTTGTAAATAGAGCTATATACCGGTATAGAGTACAGCGGGTATAATAAAGTATATACTCCCTTGCATTCATTTTTGTGCAAAGTCAAGAGAATTTGCACATTATGTCGAGTTTCTGAAAAACTAATGGACAGATCTAAATGAAATTTGGGATGATTACACACAGGACCGGCGATAGCCTTTTTGACGCCCTGTCCAAAGGCTGCGAATGCAAAATTCTGCTGTCAGATTCTTTCCTGAATTCTGACAATTTTTCCGCCCGGTGCTGTCGAAACGATGGAACGTGCTCTGGCACCGGCCCTGACTGTATATTAATAACACAGAGAGAGAGAGAGAGAGAGAGAAATGTACCATTCAAAAGTTCTTTTATATACGCATAATTATCAGTACAGCTTATAGTGCAGGGAAATCCAAATTTCACGTTGTGATATTGGACTGAAAACGAGTCTATTATGGTGTATGGTCCTTCTTATATAGATAGGTCGCACAACGTGACGACATATTGGACAGACATACCAGGCGAGGGACCTCCGTCCCAGGTCCTCATTATACGGGACCCATTCAGAGTTTGAGATATCCAACGCCCGTGGGACCTCGTTTTCGCGGGCGCAACCCACGGAGTACCCGTCCGGCTTTTACTAAGCATTGGGCGGAACGAAAACGTTGCTAATTTGAAACTCTGTCACCTTGCCTCCGGGCACCACTCCATAGGCAAAACCACATTGTAGAAAGGTGCTCTGTCCGCTTTGTCAATCCCCGACACAAGAACTGAATGGGGTCAAACCCCCGGGAACTCAGTCGACAAATGTACCATATAGCTCCATCACAGCCGAAGGAACAGACACGACAGCACCAGTACGGTCCCTGCAAAGCCTGAACCAACCTGAGTACAATGCTCGGGCTCTAGTCCTGTGAAGTCAAATTATATACCCCCTGTAGTTGAGAATGCCTAGGTACAGGTCCTAACCAGTACATCCCAGGCGTTCGCCTGAGTTAACCCCCGGGGGCGACATATTGGACAGGAGGCAATCATGGAGTCCCTGTGATAGTCGAAAGGCAATTTCAGGATCGTTCTAGGAGGTAAATGTCGAGATGAAAATAACTCGCATAAGCATCCCAGACCTGATATATACGGTTAAGGCCAGAAGATCTGGCTGGCAAATCCATGCGGCGAGTATACTCATTTTCGAGATAATCATCGACCAGCTGATTCCTAGGCGGACGAAAGTTGTCGTCCATTAGCAGGTGACAGGTGACAGCAGGACAGGGCACTCGGACGGCTTTCTATGACTACTCGGGTATTACCCTGGCCCTGCAACCATCTAGAGACTTCACAGTTGTAAGACGCTTAACAGATGTGTGCTCAATACATGCCACGTTACATCTACAGTATTATATGTGCACTGTCCATTACTGTGCTAATAGCCTTTAACGACACGTTGGCTCGTGGATAACTAAAAACAGTTACATTTCCATACTACGGATACACTTACCATTGCTGTCCTAGCTACTTTAGTAAGCTTTGAGAATCGTAATGCCAATTATGTTTATTGCATGTGCCCTATTCCGGCCTGCAGAGGTCTATGCCCATTTTTTCTAGCTTCTCCATTATGCTTTTAAGCTTTTGCCGCGTGCCTCGATGTTTTACGAGAAGGCGTTTGAAAGGCAGAACATTGCTGGTGGGAATTTGATGTGCTATTCTGCTGTTAAGGGGCACTCCGTGACATAATGGTCTGGTGAGCCCAAGTTGTCACAGACACACATATTAGTTGTTTCTAGACCCCTTTCTGCAAAGTACGTCGGAAAGGGGCCGTGGCCTGTTATATATCGCGTGAGGTAGGGCTCTGAGATGAGCCGGTCCCCCTCTACCTTGGGCAGGAACTCATACGCTCTGCGGCCTTGCGGGATTTGGTCCCATTCATTCTGCCAGTTTCCAATAGCGGTCTCCTCTATTTGCCTCTTTAGGCATGACCGTGGCAGGGGCACCTGAATCTGCTCCGTTTCCTCATTTTGGGCAGCCTCCTTGGCAAGAGCGTCTGATGCTTCATTTCCCTGGATTCCGGCATGCGCATTCACCCAGGAAATTTGGATTCTCATTGACTTTTCTTGTAGATGGAGGACTTCTTGCAGGTGCGAGATTAGTGCGGAGCGCTGGAGAGGGTTGATAGCATAAATGCTTGACAGGCTGTCAGTAAATATCGTAGCTCGACTCTGGCGTGTGTCAATTGCCCATTTCACTGCCTTTGTGAGGGCAACTACTTCCGCTTGGAACACTGAGTTCTGTGCGCCCAGACGGCCCTTCCATTCCTTTGCTATGTTTCCATCTATAGGCTATAAAGGCACTGCCTACAGCGTTATCAATTTTTGACCCGTCTGTATAAAGCACGGTCCCTGGTCCGTCTAAGGGGCGGGGTTAACGCTGGTGAGTGGAAAGTCCTTATGCCCAGTCCATATTTCGACGGATGTGTGCTTAGTTTGGACCTGCGTGTTTCGTAGACTTCTGGCAGATAGCATGTATCCCCATATGTGCATGGCTGTTAGAGTTGCGTCACCTTTGCAATTGAGGCTTCTTGCTGCGCTTTGATTAGGAGCGGCATAAGCCCTGCTAATACCGAAGCGGCCGCAGTCGACGTTGTCCTGTAGGTCTTCGTTATGGCCAGGACAAATGGTCGCTGTGCACTACTTAGCAATTTTGCCTTTCTGACTGTCATCGGGGCTGCCCAGATGGCTGCTCCGTAGGTTAGGACCCTCTCCGCGAGTCGTCCATTAACAGGAACACAGGACAAGACGAACCCAGGGCTCTAAGATCTCCTGTCTGTGCCTAATAACAAGCAGGGAGACTGTCTAACACATGCAGCGATATGCGGCCGACCAATATAAATGCCTAAGGAAACCATTACACCTCCACCACCGTACACTGCCCTTTTTCCATGATGAGAGAGGGATGGTATCCTGTTTAGACTCCCTCCAGATACAGGTGCGCTGAGAATCAGTGCCCAAACTGAATCTCGACTCATCTGTAAAAAGCACAGTGCTCCACTGAAGTATGGTCCAAGGCGCATGTTGTCTACACCATGATAAAAAGAGCTTTCTTTTGTGCTACAGTGATCAATATGCAAACAGCGGGCCTTCTGGCACACAACCGTACATCATGAAGCTATAGACCGTGAAATTCGGGTTCCAGTGGCTGCGAACAACTCACACGAGAACTGTGAAGCTGTAGCACACTTGTGCCGCCACTCTGAAATTACAAAATCTTGTCGTGGTCTTCTCGATGTGGACTCAGTGTCCCGAAATTCTTTACAGAATTTACAGATAACAGTGGACGTTACATTGAGCTTTTAGCTGCCTGCTCTTGAGACTGGCCTGTCTGCAACCTACCAGCAAATCTCCATCCCATTCTGTCATCCACACGAGCGTGGCTACATATATTGCCTGATCTGATATATAATGAAATTTCTCCAGCTCTTGCAAGAAAAGCGGCGAATGTCGCGAGACAGTACAAGCACATAATTTGTCCAAAACCCCTAGTGCGCTTATATCATCTTCTCAATCACAGCTCCGTAGAAACACACGTGTATGCTTACGTATTCGACTCAATATTTGTGTAATTCTTCGGCGGCATAATTAGAACCTTGGCTTCAACACATTTCATAAAAATAGACAAATGTTTCAAATTCTCTTAATTTTGCACACGAGTATAGTATAGCTTTATAACGGTCTGGTTATACATGAAGATCCGAAGTGAAGTGACCATTATTCTGTAGGTCAAGCAACCAGGGACCCACAATCGTGAGAGTTATATGTGTGGTTCATTTTAATTTTAGTTTAAAATTTAACTAAATTTATTACTTTAGTGACTGTTAGTTGTTGTTGAATCGTAGTTAACCGGTGACAAGCAGTCTTGTTGGGTACCGGTGTTCGAAGATTTAATTTTGATTTTAGGAATCTTCTTTATGGAGTCTACCAAAATTTTAACTCTAAAAAGGTTCTTAGTAGAAAGTTTTAAAAATTTTTAAGCCACTAGGTTACTGTACGTTGCCATGAACATATCATCCACTTGCCATGGCAAGTATTGCAGCTGATCAAGATGCAGGTTTTTTAATTTATGATCCCAGCGTCTCGCACATAACCATTGCTCATGGTGTTTCCGTTTGGAGAAAAGTAAAATCATTTATTTACATTTCGAATTTAATTAACCTGTAATAACAAAGGTAGTAATGCAAAGGCGATGAAAGAATTTATTAATAGCTTAAATCTTCGTTTAATTTTTAATAATATATGTAACTGACATAAACAGATATGTTAAAATAGATCATTGTAGTTAATAAAAATATTTCTAATGTCTTATATTATATACTTTTACAAAATCGCGTACATTATTTATTTTCAAATAATATTGTAATGATATTCAACAGGACATGTAATTCTTTGTACTATATGGAAAATTAAGATAGAAAAATTTCACGGATGGTAACAATTTTAGTATAATTTTCCCCAAATTTTCATTATATTCGTATAGAAATGAATAAAACTTGTAATATTATTCATTTTATAGAAGAGAAATTACATTGCTTGCTCATCATTGATAAAATAATTTTAAGCAGCTGATAATTTGAACGATAAACTGAGAATGACGTGTTATAAAGAACAAGACAGATAACGAAAGATAATTTTTGATCGCGTATGTCTCACGAATACTGAAATTTTATCGCAGTGTGCGTTAAGAACTCATAAAACCTCGTTTAACTGCTGTAAAAGCTGATATCTGATAAAGGTAAGTGATATTTAAATTGATGCTATTGACTCGCTAATTTTAATTCTTAATTAAATACAAAAAGGGAGATTAAGGATGCCAACATTATTTCTAGTTCTCCGTGCAGTTTGCCATTGCTCGCTTTGAAATCGTTGAGCTTGTTAATCAAAAATCCATTAAAGTGTTACAAAATATGAAATCAATAATAAAACAAACTTCAAATTAGGGCTTGTAGATGCTCATATTTGGTGGAGGAATACGTTATTCAAAATTTGATGGCTTTAGGTACCGTTGTTTTATCACAATGCAGGAAACATACCTACATTTATGCAGATCCTCCATTATTTAATTTCTTTAAATATAAAACAGAGCGATAGTATTTGGTGGCAACAATTTGAAAAGGGAAACGAACCTTTAAAGTTTTCGACGCAAAATGCCAAAACAAAATTAATAGCCCTTTGAGCTAATAACTGCACACATCTTTAGAATTCTATGTAATAATTTACGAAATCATTTTTTATCATTCTTGTTTGAGCCTGATAAATCTTTTACTGTAAATAGGATTTCTTGAATGTTAACTCGAATGATTGTTTTTGTTCTGATATAAGGCTAAGAACTCTTTCTCTCCCTACCCAAAACTTTATACAGGATTTCTCACCAAGCCCTCCTAAATTCTACACAGACAGATTCTTCTCTTGGAATACGTAAAAAATGACCAAAAAAACTTGCCCCTGTAATGTTTTGGATATAAATTTGAAAGAAAAGTATGATGTGATGTCCTAAGCAGAACAGCGGTATTTACATACTATGTTCACATAAGAAGACGTTCAAAATGTCCGCCACGCATATCGAATCATGCATGCGCGCGCCACAGAGTAGCTGACTGTTGAAAGAACATAGTATCTAACGAAGTACACGCAGCATGGAGATGAGAAACTAACTCATTTTCTATAGTAACTAGTTCTTGATAGACCAATGCTTCAGATGGCTCCATAGGAAGAAATCCAAAGGTGTCAGATCTGGCGATGGTGGCGGCTATAAAACCAGACATCCACATCCTATCCAGCGGCTTTGCTACTCCATATCCTGCTAATCACATACAAAAGCACTGGACTGTGATAGAGCTCCATCCTGTCGGGACCATAGGCGATGTGACGGATATAATGTCATACATTTCTTCCGCATTTATCTCGAAAACTATGGGTCGTATAGGTTCAGATCTTTCAGCATTTTTATGTATTCCGAGCGAGAAATCTAGCTGTGCAGAGTGTGGACGGTCTTATGGGGCATCCTGTACTTATTCTTCCAGGTTAGAATAGAAGGAGGGAAGGTTCAACTCAAACCGTGAATCTTGGCGGCCATGTTACTACTGTCGCTCTGACTTTTGCAAGGAAGTCTGTTATTGAAAATTTTTTTTTTCTTTTTTAAGCATGTCATTTTGTGTTGCATGTGGATGCACAAATCGAATTTCGAGAAAGATTACTGGGATTGCTTTTCAAGTATTGACCTTTTTATGTAATTTGGAAAATATGTTGAAAAATATCCCAATGTCATGTTATTTTCTTTGCAGATATGAACAAGAAAAAAGGACTTAATAATAATCAAAATGTGTTAAATACATTTTAATTTTCCTTAACATACAATGTCATATGCTAGGATTTAAACTGTATAATTTGAACGTTTTAGATAATTTGTTATATAATTTTCATGAAAGAAAGACATCAATTGTTACTATTTTATAAATTGTAAAGGTGTTAAATAAAGTAAATGCTTTGCTTTATGCATTAATTATTATTCATTTTTTGATGAATAATAATTTTTGATGAATGATACTTTATGTATTAATTATTATTCAAGTTTTGTGAACTTTTATGAGTATAATTTGTGCATTTGATCAAGATAAACTGTTCTGTTGTTAAAAATTGTTCACATAAACTTACAAATTTCTGAGCAGTATAGGGATAAAAATAAGTAAAATATTTACTCAATTGAACATGTGCAAAGATGTATCCAAAAATTTATATAGGTATATTTCTGTAATTCAGCTTAATTCAAAGCAATTTTTTACAGATTCATAAATGTGAAACACGCATAAACTGAAATCACTAAATTTACGTAAATCTGTTTTATTTTATTAATATTTATTTTCTTGTTGTTGGTTCTGAAAAGGATCTATTTAACACTTTCGTTAAAAAAATGCAACTTGTGACTATTTTTTTAGATAATTATTTGCTTTCTTAAATATGTGAATTTCTGTATTAGTGTATTACTACTTAAAGCTGAAGTATTTAAGTATACTAAAATAAAATAACTTTCTTTCCTATTTCTTAAATTTTATATATGAAATGATTCTTTGATAAATTATGATAATATTGTGAATAAATCAGAAATACCCCTTTTTAAAGCAAAAATTGGAAAGTACACCCAACCGGTTGCTAATAAAACCTAAACAAATCCTTGGAATATGCAGAAGCATCATTTTTAAAAGCTTTAATGTTATACACATGCATATAGATTTCGAACTATTTCTTAATAATTTTCTGTACATAGTAAATAATGGATATCATCTTTATTACTTTAAAACAAAAATTTAACAATAGCGTGTGTGTGTGTGATTATGACAAAGCCTCGAGGGCTATCTGCTAAGAGGAGGGATGCCTTCGTGGAGGACTTTATAAGGGAAAAGGCTCCTATATACGTTACACATGGGGAAAACCACGAAAGCGCCCATGCAGCCAGCCCGTTCGCGGGATTCGAACCTCGGACCGAACTACCAGTGTTCAGCGACTTTACCGCTCGGCCGCTGGTGGGCCTAACAATAGCGAAGCATTTCATTATAAATTTAACATATTTTTACTGGAAAATACATGTACGGAACAGCTTAAAAATACGTACTTTTCACTGCCGTAATGCAATGTTTCGAAATTAAAACATGGACGCCGCTTGTTAGGTAGGGTTTCATTCCCCGGATAGTGGAGGAAACTGCGAACCCACCTTCCTTCTATTGTAACTTCCTCGCATTCTGCGATATTATAAAATGCCAGCTATGAATGTAATGCGATAAAGTTAAAAATGGTGTCAAAACTTTAAATCAAATTATAAAGTTTAAATATATTACAATTTCTATGTCAAAGTAATCTTTTACAGCGACAGACTGCTAAATGTCATTCATATGCTTCTGCTGCTAAGAGATGGGAGCTTCTCCAGTTTATATACGGTGTCTCGACAAAAACACCAGATTTAGTATGCCCACCAAAATATTTTATTTTCTAGAAAATGGAAAATACTTTTACATAATTATAACAGGTAAATGTTCTCATTTATGAACGAAAAATATTATATCCTCCTTTACTTGCTGTGCAACACCATACTCTCTTAATGAAATTCATTATCACTTTTTCACATATTTGCCTATCGAGGTGGCTAATGACATGTTTAGTTTTTACTTTAAGTTCGGAATTTTTTTAAAATTTGTAATAACACTCTCAAGTACTATAACTGTGCTATTTTCATCAGACCGGCCGAACTGACTTCAAAGCTGTATCCTCAAATTTCATTATGAATCTGCGAAATTTTATTACATTGGTTATACCTTTACGTCCAAAGATTGAAGCTTCCTAACAATTTATGCATAACACTCGCCATTCTTGCAATGAGTTTTCACAATCAAAACAACCCTGTATTTTTTTGTTTTTTGTTTTTGTTTTTGTATGTGTGTGTGTGTGTGTGTGTAGCACTTCAGTTCGAGTAATCTACTACGAAGCTTCAAAATGAACTGATAGTAATAAAATGCCAGTGTGGTCAAATAAAATCAAACCCGATATTCTTAAAATCGAAACATTACCCGTTGTAAATATGTAAAAATATTTTCCATTTTCTAAAAATAAAATATTTTTCGATGCATATTTTCCAATAGCTATATATATCACTTGAGCTAACATCATTTAATTCTTAATGCTATTAATTTTGTTTCACTAATTTAAATTCCTTTTTCCGCTGAAGGATGACATCAAAATTTCTCTATTTTTCTATTTTCTTTATTCGAATTGAATAAAATCCTAGTCTGAGATAAGATTCTTTCCATCTAGAATGATTTTACTAATATTGCTTATTTTAGTTTTATTCCTCATTCGGGCGGTTGTTTATTATTTTCTCATATTTATTTCTTTTTTCACATTCTCAATTCATTTTTAATGCAATATAATGTCTCTCTTCATAATAATACAAAGCTTCCACTTCGTTTGTGTGCAGTAGTTGTTGTGAAATATGTGGAAAAATATTCCTTATTTTCATCATACACTGAGAAATAAAATATTTCTTCTTTTTTTTATTTTTCCTATCTTTTTTTTATTTTAAGACTTTACTTTTTTTAGTCCAAAGGGATTTCAGTCCCGAAGGACTATTGCTTTCGTTTTGGCATTTTGCGTCGGACTCATAAACGTCGGTTCACTTTTCAAACTGTTGCCACAAAATGTTAGAGTCCTCATTATATTTGAAGAAATTAAATAATGAAAAATCTGCATAAAGATTGTCTATTTCTCGCATTGTGATAAAACAATGGTACATAGAGCCATCGAATTTTAAATGACGAAATCCTACTGCGAATATGGGCATCTAAAATCCCAAATTTGGAATTTGTTTTATTATAGATTTTATTTTGTAAAACTTTAACGAATTTTTGATTTACAAACCAATGCTTTAAAAGCGAGAATGGCAACGTTATATAGAAAAAATACTTTTATCTCCAGCTCGCGAGACTGTGTATATCGGAAATTCTAAAGATATGCTTAATTTAACATTATTTGCGATATTGCCTTGAACTGAATTTTATGGTTTTAAGTGCAAAGAACATGATATTTAATAAATAACGGTAACACTCAAAAAACGTTAAAAAAACGCCCTTGGACGTAATTTAAAATCAGAAAATTTCAGATTTTTTTTTTTTTTTAGTCCAAAGGATTTGATTCCCGAAGGACTATTAGTTTCGTTTGGCATTTTGCGTCGCGACATAAATGTCGGTTCACTTTTCAAACTGTTGCCTAAAATGTTAGAGTCCTGCATTATATTTGAAGAAATTAAATAATGAAAATCTGCGTAAATGTATGTATATTTCTCACATTGTGATAAAATAACGGTACATAGAGTCATCGAATTTTGAATAACGTAATCCTCCAACGAATATGAGCATGTGGAAGACCAAATTTGAAATTTGAAATTTGTTTTATGATCGATTTCCTATTTTTAAAACTTTGACGAATTTTTGATTAACAAACTCAAGGATTTCAAAGCGAGCAATGGCAACGTTGTGCAGAAAAAACATTTTTATCTCCAGCGCGTGAGTCTCTGTATCGGAAATTCTAAAGATATGCTCGTTTTAAAACTATTTTTGCGATATTGCTGTTGCACTGGATCTTTGGTTTAAGTGCGAGGAAGATGATATTTAATAAGAAAGGTAACACACAAAAATGTTAAAAAACGCCCCTTTGGACGTATTTAAAATCTGAAACATTTCAGATTTTTTTTTTTTTTTTTTTTTTTTTTTTTTTTTTTTTATAAAACTTGGAAGGGATACTTGGACTGGCTGCCCAAAACCCTGAAGAGAATTAGAGTAAAGAAATTGTTCATCAAATTATTTCTGTTTCTACCTATGAACAGTTTCTTATTATGAATTGGTTATGACTATATGACTATAGGTATTGAATTTTTTTTTTATTTATGTCATGGAACAATTCTCCTTAAAAGAAATCTAGGGTTTTAGGGAAAAAAATCCCTATATCTAACAAATACTAATTATACTTTACAATTGTTACACAGCATGACTTGCCTGAAACAACAGTACATATTTATCTCTATATGAACAATGATAATACCTATTCGAGATTTGCATAATTTTCTATTTTTAATCACTTCCATCAGAATGAAATTCTTTTGAGCTGTTGAATATTTACATCTTAATTAACACCACAGTCTTCCCCACAGTTCATTTCTTCTAAGGTGTCTTCATTATTCCTTAATATAGGGAGATTCAAGAAGTAAACAGGTGATTATTATAAGGAAATAAATATTTTATAAATGGCACACTGCAGCATTTATCAGAAGTCTAACTAATCACTCAATTCTCTTCCTCTAGAAATTTGTTACTTGGCCACAGAGCCGTCGTAGAGTAAAATTTTGCACCTGCTCATCACGGAAATATTGCTGTTCCATCCCAGACATCAACTGATATATAATATTCTGAGTCTGTCACTCTGCGATTGCTGTGAATGATCTCATCTACCTCCAGCACAATGTTGTCTGAGGTCGACGTTGATGGCTTTCTTCGCCGATCAACGTCACGTCTCTGCAGCTGATTCGAATTGCTGTCACCACATCATCTGACGTTTTTGCCTAAAAAAGACGTTTACTGCTAGTAATTCTGCTTTGGATAAATTATTTTTATATCTATTTAGATTTGTTTTTATTTATTTTTGCATTTTTAATCTCAATGATCCGCTATCAATCAAATTACTCATTTGAAAAATCGCTTTTCCACAATATAAATTATCACTCTTTTAATTCTAACAATTCTGTTATTTGAAGTGATCTATATAATACAGCAACTTTGCCAAAATATCAGAAATTAAGTTAAAAATCTCATATTAACTTCACTTAAAGGAGGTTTCCCCCCGCCCCTCTATCCGATTGTACAGACGATAAAATTACGAAAGTTTTAATTTGTTCATTAAACGAAGCTATATATGAAAACTAGTTTTACATTAAATTAAAAAAATTTTAAATCAAATTTTGAAAAAACAGTGTTATCCACAATAAGAAGGGATGAAAAATTTTAGCTTCACAGCTTATCAGGAAATAAAAGCTTTAACCATAGTGACAAACACCGTAAGAAAGTTAAATAAAAGTTATATATGAATGCACCTAGTTTAAAAAAAATTCTAGAAATTGGTATAATAGATATTTTTTTCTTTTATTGATATGTCTTATTTGAAAAGAGAACGAAAAATTTGTTTTATAACCTTTGAAAATTTCAAATTTTTCTAAGATACGTATTTTTAGGTGCTAGAATTTTAAAGTTCCATAAAAGAATATAATGTTAGTTCCTTAATAAAATTAAGGAAAACCAGCTTTTATATGTGAGAAAAGTGTAATAAATCAATAAAATTTAAAGAAAATTAAAATATCATACCAGATTTCATAGCAAATAATTTTAAAAACCTAGTTGTTTATTGGCCATTAATTAAATGACGAAAAAAATTGGAATAAGGAGTTTCGTTTTTGGTATAACTTTAATGAATTCAAGTACTTCTGGTTTATACAAATTACCCATAGTAAACATACATTAATGAGTACTCATATAAAAGCATCTAATAATCTGATAATACACTTCAATTAAAAATAAATCTTAAAACTGTTATAGATCAGTTATATTCTAAAACTCATGGCGATGACAACTACACGAAAACGTGTTGCCAACGCAGGGTAATTAATCTGTATGTTAACTACGCCGAGCGTAAAAGTAAAGATTGATAAAATTTTAAACTTTTTTTTTTTTTTTTTTTTTTTGTGATTAATGAAATAAATTGTAAGTACAAAGTCTACGTATAAAAAGAGGGAGAGAAATAAGATGGCATTTACAGCATTCATTTATAAAATGGCATTTACGGCAAGAGGAGTGGCGTAATGCCACAATAATCTTGAATTATGTTTCGAAGCTATGGCAAAGAACCCATAATCTCTCCCTACATCTTACTGCAGCACATTAAAAAAGAGAGGGAAAGAGAAATATAGGAAATTGTCCAATCATAATTATTTTTTTAAATCATTACTTTTTCTTAAAATGGGTGCAAGTTTATTTAAAAAACCGAGAAAAAACTTAACTGATACAGTTTTAGACATCGAAATTTTACAATCATATACGTCAAATAGTCGAAAAACTCGAGCGATTTTCGAAAGTTCCAAAAACATTACAACAGTCATTAAATTTTGATGCAAGTTTCGTTTAAAAGATTTTTTATGCTCTATCCTAGGTCAAACAAAATTTTCTGAGACTTTCACTTCGTTCATTGTACGAATATATGCGCGAAAATTATTTAAATATTAAATTTAAACGAATTTTGTAAAAATCGCTTCACATTGCATTGCCATCACAGTCGCTTCACATTGCATTGACATTCACAGTGCATTGTCATCTACAAATAGAGTATACACAAAATTTGAATTCGATAGCTTATCAGGAAGTACGTTAAAAATCGATGACAAGCTTGTGACCATGCAAAAAAAAAAAAAAAAAAAAAAAAAAAAAAGTGGAAAAAGGCTTAAAAAAATTAGCACTACGCAACACAAAAAATAACAGTAAATTCCTCCTTAGCGCACGGAAAATATCGTCAGTTCTCACTATTGTTCACATCAGAGTAAACTCTATACGCAATTCAGCTAACTCTCTCTGAACCACTAAATGTCACAGTTAATTAGTTCACAGTTAACAGTTGTCACGACTAGCTCATCCCAGCTCTTGTAGCTACGTTAAGATGCGTTCAGAAGACGATATAAAGGGCATAAGTGGTTTAAGCCGAGATGCGTTACCAGGCAACGTCTGCGCTACGTCGGAAAATCTGGTTTAGGGCTCATGGCATAAAGTTCGAAGTTTTCAACTTTATGCCGACTTGGAAAAAGCTTCGACCAATCAGAGAGAACACACGAAATCTGAAGGGGAAAACAGAGCAGGAAAGCTGTAAACATAATTCATGCACGCGCAAATTTAGCTTCTCTAAGTGGGTGCGGCTAAGACCCTGTATCGTAGGTGCGAACAAAATTCCCGCATTTTATTCCTTACATAAATGTTATTTTATTCCTTTACATAAATATGTCGCCGTCTGAATGCAGCCTTACGGATCACTTAGACGACAAGACATTTAAACGATAGGGCATTTAACCGAGACGATTTGGTCATTTGAATATGGCAAAACCGCTATGACTTTCTATCTAAGAGGAGGGATGCTTTCCGGGGGACTTCCGGGGAAACTGTCTTGTATTTACGTTACACATGAGATAAACCACAAAATACAACCATGCAACCAGCCCATTCGTCTGGACTCGAACCCAAATCAGGTCAAATTACCAGTATTCGGCGGCCTTAAGCATACTTAGCACAAGTTGGTCTAGGAACACAGACATTTAGCCGATTTAGCCGGAAGCACGTTTAACCGAAAGGAAGTTTAGCTGACAATGTGTACATTTACAGAAAATATGCTACATCGATTTGGTGAAATTTGTCCACATTTATTCGACAAAAGAATGTTTGCAAAGTACAAAACAAGAAGGTTTATGCACAAGTACAGGTTTTATGTCTTGTATAATGCTGTACGAAGTATAAATTTTAAAATTAGGAGGGGGATTTTCCTTCCTGATGGGGGGGGGGAAATTTCAGCAGTGGGAGGAGAGATATGATTTTATACAAAAAGCAGTTACAGAGCAAAGCCAAAGCGAACATAGCATGTCGTAATTAAGGATAAATAAACTAAGATATTAGAATTTTGAAAGCGCTAGGAAGAGTAAGATTGGAAAATTAATGGCATTAACTATAGAAATTTTTGCTTATGGGGGGGGAAGGATTCAAAAATTCAGATTACGAACTCAATAAGCATAATGAACAATCTTTATTGATCCAAAAGTCAAAATTATAATTAGGTATCTTATTATGATTGGTTGCCATTTTTTTAATGACTCCTTTGCGAACATGTTATTCAAATACCCTGGCAAGAACTTTCAAAGGTCTTTAAGTTTGGCCCATATAACAAACCACATTGTTATGATATGCTAAAATTCCACAAGAACTAAAATCAATGATAGGATCTTTAAGAATCTAATATTAAATTTTTTCGATGGGAAAATGACTTTAAATTGAACTTATGGAGAATCCGAGCAATTTTGTAGTTGACAGGAAAGTCAAACAGCTGTTGGATAAATATGAAAAAATTTTACTAAACATTGTCGCAAGTCAATGTACGTGTTGTTAGCTAAACCTGCTGTCGTCTAAACATGTTGTCTATTATGATTAATTCAGCTTTGCTTCGAACAAAGAGAGACTGATGACATTTTTATTCTACCGTCTATGCCAGCGTTCATAGATCGCGTGATTTTTCGCAGATTTTGCTACCTTTTGATAAATGTTTGCTACTAAAACTTGTGTTTATGTGATTTTGTGAAACTTTTTCATTTTCTTGTGCCGCTTTTTGCTGCCTAAAAGTTTTTAAATATAAATAAATGCGTATATATTAAAAGTAATTTAGAATAAAAGAGTAATTTAAGCTAAAAATTGTGCTGATACCATAATGCATACACTATTTTTCGGCATTCATCACTAAAAAATATTAAAGACTAAATCTTATTTACGGTATTGTGAGGAAAATAATTATTGAACTTTAAAGAATAAAATACTATTATATATATGGATATTTTTTTCATCAGATTTGTATTAAATATAAATTTTTCGTAGCACTATTACTGGAGTTCTTGCTCAACTAATTATATATACATGCATATGTATCAGAGAAATTCTATTAATATAAATTTTTAATGGCATCATTATTAGGGTTCGTGCACAACTAGTATATATGTATTAGAGAAATTGGCTTCTGCTAGTAAAACGTTTGTGAGAACAGAAAACATCAATTATTAATAATTTAAATATTCTGGTGTCTTGTAAATTTTCTTTTAAAATTAATTTATTTTGCATATGCATTTTGGTGCGCCTCATTTGCTTAACACTGTTCCGGCTCTGTTTAATATTGAAATTTCAACGGCATCAGAGTTACGTAAATTCTCCCAACCTATAATCTGACAAAAGCTCGTGTGACTTACGACGTTATTGAAAATGTTGTGCTAATTTTTGCTATGTTTTAATTCCTTTCCTGCTACTTCTGCTCAAAATTTTCTGGTAACCCTGATACATGTCATGCGACAACGTATTTAAATTAAATATCAAATATTTCTGCAATGCGCTTTTAGTTAAGAATATTAATGAGGGATACCATGAAATCATAACATTTTTCATTTTCAGCAAGCTACTTAAAAGTTAAATTGTAATCTTAAAATTTCAGCTTGCAGTTTAATATGGGGGTGCTAACGAGGCGATATAAGGATTCGTAGCTGAATAATTTGAGTTTAGATTAGGTTGCGTATTACTGAATATAAAGCCTATTACTGAACTAAAAGCACATTTATTATAAATCTGCGAGAAACTTTATTAACAATACAATACAAAAATTGACAATTAATATTTAATGCATGAGAACAAACTATTTAGAGGATAAGTTATTTTCCTCTTTATATGAGGATCATGCGGTAAGAGTCTCTCATCCAGAGTCTCAGAGCGTTCTGTATGTTTGCTCTCTCTGGAACAGTTTACAGACT